AAAACAAGGGCACAAAAAGCTAAAACTTCTCGCCCCCAAAAAACCCAACAATAACAAAAAAGAACCAGAGAGAATGAAAGAGTTTACATACGCAGTCCGCCTCAAAGCCCTCGTCCTCCACCTATTTTACCCACTGGCACCTCCCCCATTTTTTTTTTTTTTTTTTTTTGAGACAGAGTCTCGCTCTGTCACCAGGCTGGAGTGCAGTCGCACAATCTCAGCTCACTGCAACCTTCTCCTCCCGGGTTCAAACGATTCTCCTGCCTCAGCCTCCTGAGAGTAGCTGGGACTACCGGCGCCCGCCACCACGCCCAGCTAATTTTTTGTATTTTTAGTAGAGACGGGGTTTCACCATGTTGACCGGGATGGTCTTGATCTCTTGACTTTGTGATCTGCCCGCCTCGGCCTCCCAAAGTGCTGGGATTATGGGCATGAGCCACTATGCCCTGCCCCACAGCACCTCCCTTTTCTACTGTTTACAGAATGGGTACACAGTCACACATTACAGCACTTACTTGTACACCACTGAACTCTGTTCTCTAGTTGTTTGTCCTGAGTCTGCCTGAATTCCTCAACCAGACTAATTTATTTGGGCCCAGATATTCCTCCTTCACTCCTACCAAATGTTGATGCTAGATAAATACTTACTGGTTGTTTTAATGCTTTATATACAAAAGCAAAGTAGCTAATTTCCTGAATACAAAAAAACAAAAAGGCCGGGCGCCGTGGCTCTCGCCTGTAATCCCAGCACTTTGGGAGGCCGAGGCAGGCAGATTACAAGGTCGGGAGATGGAGATCCTCCTGGCTAACACAGTGAAACCCCATCTCTACTAAAAAAATAAAATAAATAAACAAAATTAGCCGGGCTTGGTGGCATGCACCTGTAGTCCCAGCTACTTAGGAGGCTGAGGCAGAAGAATCGCTTGAACCCAGGAGGCGGAGGTTGCAGTGACCAAGATCATGCCATTGCACCCTAGCCTGGGCAACAAAAGCAAACTTCTGTCTAAAAAAAACCCCAAAAACTAACAAACAAACTGCTAGCACAACTTAAATAGATTAAATACATATGTTTATTAAATATGGGCAGCTCATTTCTCAAGACATCTCATATTTACAGTTTGAAAAATTTTAAATACACTAATGTGACCCAAATAATCATTTTTTTTTTTTTGTTTTTTTTTTTTTTTTTTTTTTTTTTTTTTGAGACGAAGTTTTTCTCCGCTCTGATGGCCCCAGGCTGGAGATGCAGAGGCCGGATCTCAGCTACTGCCAAGCTCCGCCTCCGGGTTTACGCCATTCTCCTGCCTCAGCCTCCCGAGTAGCTGGGACTACAGGCGCCCGCCACCTCGCCCGGCTAGATTTTTGTATTTTTTTAGTAGAGACGGGGTTTCACCGTGTTAGCCAGGATGGTCTCGATCTCCTGACCTTGTGATCCACCCGTCTCGGCCTCCCAAAGTGCTGGGATCCAAATAATAATTTAATCAGTAATTTTAAAATTAGAAATCCTAGATGATTAACTATATACACATATTTAAAATTACAGGTAGTATTTTATATTGTTTCCATAGCAACAACTACCTCACTGTCAGGCTCGCTTTCCTTCATTTTCTTGTTTTTCATGTCCTCGTCTTGGCTTTGACTAGAAGGACGCTGAAAGATAAATTATAAATGACTCACATCAATGGCAAAAAAAAGCAACATATCTTAAGAGAGTCATGCCAGCGGGCTGTAAGTGCCCTGTGTTTAGAGGCTCACAGCTGTGCTCTCCTGACCACCACCTACAACTCTCAGTGGGCAAGTCATTCTCCAGGGTTCAATCCTTCCTGTCACACTGTTGCTAAGCACATTTAATATATTTTGCCCTTGAAAACTTTTTGTCTTGAACTTTAAACAAATAATGTGGCTGGAAAACGTGTGGTTGCTGCCTGCCACATCAAATGCACTATTTCATGAAGATGTTGCTAGTTCACCACAGCAGTCCTTCCAAAAGGACTGCAGAACATCTCACAGCCTGAGAAGCTTCAGGACTCAGGAAGTTTATGATGCTAAAAGAAGATAATTTATCCTTTCTAAAATCATAAAATACTGTATTAAATAAAAATGCTAAATATACAGTTATCCTCTCAAGATAAACCACCAAAACAAGGGCACAAAAAGCTAAAACTTCTCGCCCCCAAAAAACCCAACAATAACAAAAAAGAACCAGAGAGAATGAAAGAGTTTACATACGCAGCTCTTAGTCTTTCTGCCCAAGGAAAGAATAACGAGTTTTAAACACTTCAGCATTTTTTCAAACAAATGAAAACACTATTTCCGCCCCTGAAAAAGATGTGAGGCAGGCTCTTTAATGGACGAATTGAGAAATCAACAGCATTTGGTAAGTCTGGCGACGCTGGAAATTCAGCGGCTCCCCAGGCCACCACACAGGAGCACACAGCAGGACAGGGCGGGCCACCCGCAGGGCACTGGGCTGGCTCTTGCCCGGGGCGCCCCCGCACCTGTCCCTGGAGTTGAAAACCGCTCAGCGCGCACCATCTCGGCCCGCCCCGCCCGCGTCCTCCCGAGTCCCCACCGCCCGCTTACCTGTGCGCCGGCCTCCTGCGCCCCAGCTAGCTCCGCGCTCTCCAGCGTGGCCTGGCGGCTCAGCTCCTCGGCGAGGCACAGCCGCAGGCGGCACAGGCGGTGGCGCAGGTCGCGGTTCTCGGCCCGGAGCTGCGCCACCTCCCGCGTGAGGCACGGCCCCTCCGCCTGGCAGCTGTAGGGCGCGTTCAGCTGCTCGTCCCTCAGGCGCTGGACCTCCGCCCACAGCCAGCGGATGTCCTCCTCCTGCCGCTCCAGGCGCGACGCCACGGCCTCCGCCGCCAGGGTCTCGGCCGACATTGCGGCCTCCCTCAGGCACCGACGCCGAGCGGGGTGCCCACGACTGCCGCGAGGGCGATGCGGACCCTCAACGCAGGGCAGAAGACCGGGAGCCCGGGAAGGGGCGGGGCGATAGGGCGGGGAGATAGGGCGGGGCCGGAGCCGAGGCCTACACGTTGCAGGGGCGGGGAGCGGGGCGGGGAGCTGGGCGGGGCGCTGGGCTGGGAGGGGCAGGGCGTAGGTCAGATACCCTGCAGGGGCGGGGCGGGGCGGGGCGGGGCCTGAGGCCAAGCCCACCGTAGGGTTAGGGGCAGTGGGGAAACGGGGTCTGAAGGGCCTCCCCTGCCTTTCCAGGCCTGTCTAGAGGCTACTGGCAGTAGCTTTTAGTCCGTTGAAACGAAAATCTTCCAAAACCTTGCAAAAAGGCCATCATCTGCGTTCTCCAAAAAGGCTTCACCCTTTCCTCCTCTTGAATTCTGGCAGCCACCATTCTTTCTCCTTGCAAACAGGTTCTAAAAAGTGGCAATTGTAACTAGACTTTCTGGCCTTTCATGCCAAAGTTGCCCAAGTACAGTGGCCGCTGGACCAGGACATACAGAAAATCGCTATGAAATCTAAATTTAACCAGCACGAAATTGCTAGCTCCTTGAGTCTAGGGCAAATGCCACATATATCTTTGTATCCCTCTTAACCATGAGCGCGAAACTTCCTGGAGCAGGAACACAAATTGATTTTTATCCCTATTCTTAGGGCTTAGGATGTGACAAACACTGCACTAAACTCTGTAATAGTAGTAACTCCTTTGATCCTCATAACAAGAGATACTGTTATATCCGCTTATAGCTGGAGAAACTGAAGCACAGAGAGACTGTGTTACTTGACTAAAGTCACACAGCCACTACATGACAAAGGTAGAATCAAACTCAGATAGTCTGACGCCAGTTTCTACGCACTTAACACTATGGTACTTTTCAACTTTGGCAGAATTTAATCGAGCATGTCATATAATGTGATACAGGTAATAATGCCCTAAGAGTCCTAAAATGGGAGAGCTTATCTTGGACTGGTGTGGTTTGAGAAAGGGAGAAATCGCTCTGGAAAATAAAGGTTGGGAGATGTTAGCAAGGAGGAAAGGCAGGTAAATTCCACTCCAGGAGCAGAATCAGTGCAGGAGAAGGAGCGGAGGGGGACAAGCTCATTGGATTAAGCTAAGTGGAATCCCAAACAGCACCTGGGAGGAGATTCCATGAAGTATGTTGCTAACCAGTATCACTGTATCTTTCGTAGTCCTTCTGTAGCAGGACGAACCACAGACGAAACTCCTCAGACACGGGATTAAAGAAGGAAGAGGTTTTTTATTCGGCCGGGAGCATTGGCAGACTTGCGTTTAAAGAGCAGAGCTCCCTGAGAAAGAAATACTTGGCCTTTTTAAAGGCTCACAACTTTAAGGGGTCCATGTGAAAGGGTCGTGATAAATTGAGCAAGCGTGGGAAACGTGACTGGGGGCTACATGCATCAGCTAACCGAACAGAAAGTTTTACAATGTTTTTTTCATACAGTGTCTGGAATTTACAGATAACACAAGCAGTTTAGGCCAGGAGTTGATGTTATTATTATTACTTTCTTTAACTCCTACGGCTGGGTGGTGGTGCCAAGGTTGTCTGGCTATTTCTCTTACTTTTGTTTCTTTCTGTTTACTCCTGTCTTGTGAACTAGGCAAGGTGGGGGGAGGAGGGCAGCAGGAGTAGTAGTGGTCTCCTTCCTTACTTCCTCAGGAAGCCTCTGGATACAGTTACACAGGACCCACTGGCTCCTCATTATTCATCATTTCTCAACCCACTGCCATTGAGTTTCTGCTTCTGCCATTCTGCCATGACCAACACATCATCGAATGTCATGGACCCACTTAAGCCACCCCAGAATTTCCTTGGGACCCTTTGGAATTTGTCTCTCTTGGGCCTCCACTCCCAATCCCTAGGCGACCACCAGTCTGCTTCCTGTCACTATAGGTTAGTTTGCATTTTCTAGATTTTCTACAAATGGAACCACACAGTATGTCCTCCTTTTGCTCAGCTACTTTCACTTGGTACAATAATTTTGATATTTACCTATGTTTGTGTGTATATATTGTTATTTTTTTCTGAGTAGTATTCCATTGTATGGATATACCATAATTTGATTATTCATTTGTTGATGGAAAAATTGGGGTTATTTCCAGGTTTTAGCTAGGATCACGCAATACCAGTGAGCCCATTGGGTTTCCAAACTCACATTGTGGTTATTTCCTCAGTTCCAGAATGCAGAGTTTGAATAGACAAACTCCAAACTGGCAGAATCCCTATAATGTTTCCCTGACACTGGGACATAAGACTATTCTGGTAGGAAAGGCCAAGCAGAAACCACTAGAACTTTGTCAACATACAAAAATAGTACATCAAAAGCAATACTGCATTCCTGAAGGAATTGTACAGATTACTGCTGCCCTCAAGAACTTGAAAGATGCAGGGGAGGAGATTCTCATCACATCCCATTTACCTAACCTCACCATCCCATTTACATTTAGCCTGTGTAGAAGACAAATGGATGTTAGAGAATTATAGTAGATTAATATAAATTTAATTAGATGGTGATTCCAGTTGCAGCTGCTCGTCCAGATATGATTTCATTGGTGGAGTAAATCAGCATAACCCCTAGCACCTGATATGCACCTATTGAGCTGGCTAATACTTCTTTCTTTATACCTATTAGTTAAGGGCTATCAAGCACCATTTTATTTCAGCTGACAAGGCTGGCAATATACCTTCACAGGGTATCACCTCTAGACAATATAAAGTCTTTAATTTTACGTGATAATCTAGTCCACAAGGACTTTGATTGCTGCTGTATTCCATAGGATATCATGCAGGTGTCCTATTATTGATGACAGCATGCTGATTTTCCCTGATGAGCAGGAAATAGCAAATACTATAGTCACCTTGATAAGGCACGTGGAGGTCATAGAGAAGGAAACACATCCCCAAATGTAAAAATTCAGAGGGCTGTCACCTCAGTGAAATTTCCAGGCATTAAGTAGTTCAGAACATTTAGAGATGTCATTTCTCTTTTTACTAAAAGGCATAATGCCTAATTGGGCCTCTTTGGAGGCAAGATATACCTCATTTGGACATGTTTTTCTAAACCAATTACTATGTAACTCAAGACTGCCAGTGTTAAATAAGACTGAGAACCTGAGAAGATTCTGAAACAGGTAATACTGTTATGCAAGCTACTTTTCTATGTGGGCCACATGAACAACAGATCTGATGGTCTTGAAATGTCTGTGGAAGATAAGAGTTAGCCAACCTAGAGTACAGTGGTGAGATCTTGACTCATTGCAACCTTGACCTGCTGGGCTCAAGCAACCCTCCCACCTCAGCCTCCTGAGTAGCTGGGACTACAGGTGCATACCACCAGGCCCAGCTAATTAAAACAATTTTTGTAGTGATGGGGTCTTGCTATGTTGCCCAGGCTTGTCTTGAATTCCAGGCCTCAAGTGATCTTCCCACCTTGGCCTCCCAAAGTGTTGGGATTATAGGCATGAGCCACCAAGCCTGGCCTATATAGAACTTTTACTGGGTCCTTATGGGTGAATCACAGCGTAATCCTTTGGACTGGGGAGAAAAGTATGTCGTTTTCTGCAGATAACTATTCTGCTTTTGAGAAGCAGCTTCTGGTTTGCTACTGGGCCATAGCAGAGATTGAATGCTTCATCAGGGACCAGGAAATTACCATGCTACCCGAGTTTCCCTCCATGAATTGAATGTTATTTGTCCCATCAAGCCATAAGGTTGGGTATATACAGCAGCGTCCTATCATTAAATAAAAGAGGCATATGCCAGATCCGTCTCAAACAGATTATGTACAAGTTTTTGGCTTAAACAAGTCACCCAGATGACCACAACTCTTGTGGCCTCATGAAAAGTTTTATATGCCCAGTTGACTGAGGAAGGTAAAATGTGGCCATGATTTACAGATGGTTCTGCGCTCTTGTGGAGCAGAAGCTTCTTTAAGTTGACTTCTGAGACATTTAATTGCTTCCTTGATTTTCAGTTTGATAAAATGTTCCAGGCTCATCTTATATTCAAGGAATCTATCATTTATCCAAGGTGGCCCAGTAAGTTTTAATAGGAATTGTAATTTAAATCACACAATGTGGGTCCTGGCAGCAGTCCTTGTTTCTAGGACTTTTCTGTATTTAGGATTGCCAGATAAAATACACAGTGCCTATTTACATTTGAACTTCAGATAAACAAAAAATAATGTTTATATAAATATGTCCCATGCAATATTTGAGACATATACTAAAAAGTTATTCAAGCAAAAAAGCATTAAATGAGACAAAGAAGGACATTTTGTAACATTAAGTGCCACATTCCACAATGAAAATATAGCAATTATGAATATCTATGCACGTGTAATTTGAAAAAAACCACAGGAAGCTAAAGGAGAAAGAGAAACACACGAATAAAAGGGAAATAACAAGGCTGGGCACATTGGCTCATGCCTGTGATCCCAGCACTTTGGGAGGCCGAGATGGGCAGATCACCTGAGGTCAGGAGTTCGAGACCAGCCTGACCAACATGTAGAAATCCCGTCTCTACTAAAAATACAAAAAATTAGCTGGGCATGGTGGCACATGCCTGTAATCCCAGCTACTCGGGAAGCTGAGGTAGGAGAATTGCCTGAACCTAGGAGGTGGAGGTTGTGGTGAGCTGAGATAGTGCCATTGCACTCCAGTTCTGGCAACAAGAGCGAAACTCCATCTCCAAAAAAAAAAAAAAGGGAAAATAACAAACCATTCTGAGTACATTCAAGTGCACATACAAAAAGTAAGGATGTAAAAGACCCAAACAATATAATTAAAAAGTAGATATTTTGAATATATTCACATTATCAGTATGTATATATAAATATCTAACAATCTATATAAACTACACCCTGAAAATGGAAGATGCACCTTCCTCTTAAATAAATGTATGGATTCTTCACATAAATTAATCATATAGTAGGGCTCAAGAAAGACCTCAGTAGGTTTCATAAAGTAGAAATATTAGGTAAAACACTCAGCCCCAATGCAATAAAATTAGAAATTAAAAATAAAAGAACAACAAAAAGCCTTTTCACATGGAAATTTTAAAACTCTTAAGCATCTCTTTATTGAAAGGGGAAATGAAAAAGGAAAGTACAGACTTTCTTTAAAATAATGGTAATGAAAATACTACAAATCTATGCAATACATAGAACAGTAATCAGAAAAAATTCATAATTCTAACTCCTATATTGTTAAAAACAAAAGAATGGAAATAAATTCTCAATTGAAAAATCGAGAAAAATGACAGCAAAATAAAGCAATGACAATGTTCTAATAATACTAAATATACATTTCTTTTTCAACCCAGCAATCCCACTTGTAGAAATTTATTCTGAAGATACAAGAATGCAAAAATGCATATGCACACAAATTCAATGTAAG